TTGGCGGAAGTGAATGTAGAATTTGAGAGATATGGGAAGTTGATAAATCACTTGGAGTCTACTATTGCATCTTCCTCCTCAGGCGCCCCCTCTACATCCACTTTTTCCCATTCAAGTATTCGTGCTTTTACAAATCATGCTACAATCTCAAGTAATCGTAGAATTCCTTGGATAATAGATTCTGGTGCATTAGACCATACGACTAGCCTACCCAACCTTTTTTGTTCATACCCAACTCCTCTCGGGTAGAGAAAAGATTTCTCTTGCCGATTGGTCTCTTGCTCCCATCTCTGGCAAGGGGAATATTAAAGCCTTTGATTCACTTGTATTATCCTTTATCCTTCATGTTTCCAAACTTAGCACTAACCTTTTATCTGTTAGTAGTTTAACAAAATTAATGAACTGCAGCATAACCTTCTTTCCTACTTATTATGTTTTTCAAGACCTGAAGTCTTAGAGGACGATTGGGAGTGGCCATGAGGCGAATGGGATATACTTGCTGGATGCCTCTGATCAAAGTCCTGGATTACCTAGTGGAGTTGCTTTGGAGTCTGTTTTATCAGAGTCAGTTAATAGAGTCATGATATGTCATTTCAAATTTGGTCATTTGTCTTTTTCAGCTTTGAGTCATTTGTTTCCAGAAATGTTTAAGGGAATATCCTTATTGAGTCTTCGTTGTGAGTCATGTGAACTTGCTAAACATTGTAGACAATCTTTTTCCGTGAGTAATAAAAGATTTGTTTCTCCTTTCCATATTGTCCTAAACATTATAGACAAGCTTTGAGTCATTTGTTATCTTTAGCTACTGCTTTTTATTGGCCTCTTCATCAATTTGATGTAAAGAATGTTTTTTTAAATAGAACCTATGAAGAGGTCTATATGTCTATACCTCTACGGGTGTATGGGAAGGAGATGTAAGGAAAAGTTTGTAAACTGAAGAAGTCTCTTTATGGCCTTAAGCAATCTCCTAGAGCCTCATTTGACAGATTTCGGGCAGCTCTTGTTGCTTTTGGGTACACACAGACACAGTCGGATCATACTTTGTTTGTTAAGAGGAAAGATTCCATAGTGACCCTCCTAATTATCTATGTTGATGATATTGTGGTTACAGGAAATGATACTCAAGAAGTTGTTCATCTCAAAAGTTTTCTTAACACTAAGTTTGAAATTAAAGACTTGGGAAAACTAAGATATTTCTTGGGAATTGAAGTTTACAAATCTAAGGATAGTATCTTCATTTCTCAATGGAAGTATGTTCTTGATCTCCTTGCAAAGACTGGGAAACTGGGAGTCGACCTACTTCTACTCCTATTGACCTAAATCATAAGTTGTTAGTGACTAAAAGTGAACTATTGCCTAATAAGGGGGTGTTCTAAAGACTAGTTAGGAAGTTACTTTACCATTGCAAGACTCAGCCAGATATTTCCTATGCAATTAGTGTAATCAACCAGTTTATGCATTCTCCCAAAGACACACATTTAATAGCTACTGAGAGAGTTCTGGTCTATCTGAAAAGGACTCCAAGGAAAGGTATCTTGTTTGCTAAGCATGGACACGTGAAACTGGTAGCATACACTGATGCTAACTAGATTGGATGTATTGATAATAGGAGATCTACTTTAGGTTATTGTGCTATGGTAGCAGGGAACATTGTATCATGGAGGAGTAAGAACTAGTCTGTAGTGGCAAGATCTTTAGTTGAAGCGAAGTACAGGGCAATGGCACATGGAGTTTTTGAAGTTTTGTGGTTGAAATCACTTTTAGATGAATTAGGTATAGATTAGGAGAAGCCAAGCGGGTAGCAACCATCATAAATTAAAAATAAGAAAATAGCCAAAATACACAATATATGTGTTAAATAGTGTATGCCCTTAGCTCCAATCAGAATGATGTACATTATGACATTTATTGTAAATGAATAAAATACATATTTGATTCATGTTATTGTGGTGTATTTCTGTGTAATACCCTTAAACTAGACACATATGAGACTCATGTTAGTTTAGTATGTTCACAGTCGTTGGATAAGTCTGGGAAGATTTATCCTACTAAGGCTGACACTTATGTGCCGCCAAGTTGGTTGGGGTAGCCTGTCTCAGTTGCTAGGGTGAGACCCGAGGTGCATGCAGTGTATGTTTACTTGAAACCCTGAACCGGACCAGAATTCAAGTATTGCTCTAGACCTTGGTGATTAGTGGGCAAAACTAAAATGTTACACCTAACCCCTACACTCGATTACGATACTGCACTACGTGTCGGATTTGACTATCTTTGATATGCCAATCAGTGAGATCCTTAGAGGGGGTGAAAACCTGGGTATGTTGGGACAGTCTGAGAATTCATCTGAGTGGGTGATCATAGTGACAGGATCAGCCCCTTTGTCGGACAAAGGTAATGATCAGGGATGCACTCTCTCTGATGGAAACCAAAGCTGCTGACAGCCGATTTCAATTGTTGAAATTTGTTTTGCAAAATATATTTATATAGAGATATACATATATATATATATTATGATTTCAAAATGTTTGCAAAATGTTTTAATTCCTGGGATCCATGTGAGTAGAGAGTGCAACACTGTTCCTTGCAGCCGAGGGAAATGTCCTCTCTTGTCGGGCAGTGTTTGATCATTATGGGCTGAGAGGTTAAGTGTAAGATCATTGAGGGTAATACCTGATGGGTTAATCTTGCATCTGCCCACAGTCCCTGGGTTTTTATAAGGTGGCTTGGCCTAGGGACCACTTAGTGTAAGTGTTGGGCCCACTAAGAGCCCATGGTGATGGGCTTAGGGGTTCACTGTCCATAACAGTGAATTCGGCCTGGTCTTGTAATAGAAGCTCGGCTGAACCCATGTAACTGATGTGTAGATCAATGTTTGGGTCCCACAAAATACAAGGAAGCCCAACTGGACAACAGTTTGGAGGCCAAATGAGCACATGGAATTAATGGGCCTAAAACCCAAAGTTGAACTTATTAGATCCATATCAATACATTTAACAATAAATCTCATTTTTTCAAAGTTGAACCAAAAAATGAAATTGTCCTTTTGTCTAAGTGGTGGATGAGCAATTCAACCATTTGGGCCAAATGGGTCAATCCATGATGTCGTAATTAAATAATAAAAATTAAAGAAGGACAAAAACAAAAAATGCATAATATTTGTAGAAAACATTTGGGACATCTTTAATATAGAATTGTTTTATATACATAGAAATATATACAAAATTTAAAATAATTTGGATGTATATTACTATCTTCATCATCTGAAATTGCCACGTGCAAATTTATTAGTATTTTTTAAGTATGCTGATGAGGTGGAGGCCTACTTAAGGGTAGACTTGTAATTTATGTAATCTTAGTAAGATTAATAAAGGGATTATAGAAGATAAGGGAAACTTTTGGGCCCTAATATCAATAAAAGTAATATATTTAATAAAATTTCAAAAAATAAGTTAACTTTTTAAAAATAATATAAAAAAGGGGCAAAGTTGTTGTTCATCATCTTCTTCTTGTAGATTATTCATCAAAGCCGCCCGTTGCCGCCTCCGTTACGCCTCCACCCACCTCTGTCCACCATCTATAAGTCTAAGAGGAGGGGAACGATCGTTTCCTCCATTTTCGCTGCTATAGAGACGCATGCCACTGGCAATAGTTGTAAAGGCCACCCACATGCTATTCATTTAATGAAACAATAAAAAAAGTGGCATTAAGCGTCAGATTTCATTGACCTGAGAAGCAACGTTTTGGGCCACAAGTCCATTGAAAATAGGGGAAAGCAACTATGTACTGGGAGGTTATGAGAGGATAGGAAACGATCGAAATAATTGACGGAGAGATACGCCGTTATAGGTCTAAAACGGTAGTACGCATGCACCTGAGTCATGGAAGGGAGAAAAACAAAATTGCAAAAAATGATAAGGAAACAGAAGGCTAGGCTTAAATTTAATGAAAAATAATTCAGTAGACGAACAAATATTATGCCTTCCACATCTAGTTAATGGTGTCCTGTCTAGCGGTGGCATCAATCGAACGATCGAGAAAGCGTCATTGATAGTCGAACACCGGCAAGTGGTGGAAATTGGAATCCATGAGTGTCGCAAAAAAGCGGTCCCTGTCTTAGCCATCATCGTCATCGGTCATCGACAAATAAGTGTTAGTCTTTATGGGGGGATTCGGGCTGCAGGTGTTGGCATCCCAGGAAATGGCATCCCCTTCGCCGTGGTATAAGCTATAAACAGAGTGGTCATTTGGGGATAGCGACATCACAACATAGTCATTCTCAGATGGTTTTCCCAAACCACATAAGCCTTGCTTTCTAGATTTGGGGAAACCAGTGGATTTGGACAGGGCCGCCGTCTATGGTTCAGGGAGAGTCATGAGTAAAATTTTCTCTCTCACTCACTCCCATTTGAGTAATGAGATTTTTTTTTTTATATAGAGGCGAAGAGGTATGAAGTTTGAGAAAGATTTGAGGAGATGTTTTTGCGACTACAGGTGACAGTTGGAAGCGGCGGTGGGCGGCTTTGATGAATAATCTAAAAGAAGAAGAAGATGGACAGTAACTTTGCCCCTTTTTTATATTATTTTTAAAAAGTTAATTTATTTTTGAAATTTTATTAAATATATTACTTTTATTGATATTAGGGCCCAAAAGGTGCCCTTATCTAATATAATCCCATTGATAAAAGATTAGAGAGGAGAAAGAGGAGATTATCAAACTCTTTCTTCTTTTTTCCTTCACCATTTTTTCTTCTTCTTATTGTTGTCGTCTTCTTCTCTTCCTCTTATGCTATAATCTGAAACATTTTACTATTTTTTATTGGTCTAAATCACATATCGATTTTTCGGTTCGGTTTGAGCAATTTTTTTGGCTCGATTCAATTTTTCAGTTTTTCTTTCTCACCCCTAACCTGCTGTGCAGTCCGTTGGAACAACGAAAAGAAAAAGAAAAAAAATATCCGTGCGTCGCACGGGTCTCTTATAATAGTAGGACGCACGTTATCAAGATCCAGCAAAACGACGTGCCAAAGCTCTATGCAGGTTGACATGAACTCTGTGAACTCTAGTTTGACGCTTGCATCTGCTTTCTGCGTCTTTCCTCTGGCAAACTTCCCTGCTGCAGAGTAAACTCAGTCCGATGAATTCTTCCTCACCGTGTTTGGCAGGAGACCTTCCAACTCCAGACGACGGGGAGCCTCGGCCCGCGGAAACCCTAACAAACAACGATGGTTCTTTGGGCGAGGACAACTGCGAGCCATCCACTTCTTCGAATGCCACCGGACCTGATCTTAGTTTCAGGAGTTCTGAAGCTTTGGCGAAAGGGATATCATCAATGCTTGGTTCTTTGATTAGGGATTTCGATTACAGAGCTGAAAACACACTTAAAAGCCAAGACCAGGTAGTTTTCGCTGTCGACAGGCTAACAGGAGGTATTCTTCTAAATCTGTACAATTCAATCAATCCACCAAATGAATTATCACTTTTTTCGCGGTTTTGATATCTCTGTATTATTAAATATTGGAAAGGAAATCCCGCATGCACTTTACCTATTATTTCTATCTTTCTGCGCAATTCCATGACCAAAATCGTTTTATTGTTATCCGTTTTTAGTTCATGTTTTGAAGTATGAGTTTCTTTTCCAATGACTCATGGAATTAATTGGATGTGGATTTGAGACATCCTTCCTGTGCATGATACGTGCCCAACTTTTTCAAAAAGGAAATAGAATACAAGGAAGAGATGGTTTTGTTCACTTCGAGGTTCCATTGTTGTTTTCCTAGTGGGATCTCCTTCTCATTGATCTCAAATATTTTCTTGGCATTGAGGTGGCTTGTTCCAGGAAAGGCATCTTCATATTTGAAAGGAAGAATGTCTTGGGCCAAATATAGGATATAGAACATGGTTAAATTAAATGCAGATACTCCTATATGGACAAGTTGATAATCTCCCCAACAGGGGCTTTGTAAAGGTTGGTTCCCAACAGTGTTCTGAAAATTGTTATCACAACGTAAATTGCAAAGGGGTTTTTGGTAAGCAAGGGTAAATAGGAATCAAATGTTTTGGGCTGTCTTATAAATAAAAAATTGATGTGGATAGGCAATAAATACTAGCATATCTATGGAATGTATAATATTTTGTAAATACACTTTCTGTTTAGAATTATGGAACTGCGATCACTTATCAAGAAAAAAGAATTGCAAGGGGGTTTGAATCAATCTGTATTGTAAATCATAAGATTTGTTTTTTCTGATTTTTCTAAAAGTCATAAAATGTAAAAAAATACTAGACATTCTCTAAAAATAGAAAAGTATCTTTGAGCCAACTTTCAGTTATAGACATAATATAGATATGTACCAATGGCAATTATTTTTGGGAAAAGTAAAATACATGCCACATCATCTTCTTAAAAAATAATGGTATGGCAGTCTTATTTGTGCCCCCTAGCACTCATATATTTCTCTGTTTCTCTCTGTCTCTCTCCTTCTACAACTTAACAACCACTCTCATGCAGTCAGTTAGACTAAATCTGCATGAGAACTGCTAGGATGGTTCTAATACCAAGTTGTTGATCAGTCCAACAGAGTTCAGACTCAATGAAATTAATTAAACTGAAGCACCAATAGTTATATCTGCAAATCCTTTGGTATTAGATCCGTAATGGAAGTCAAAAGAGGTAACATTCTTTCTAACAAATTGTTTGATTGATTCATGGTCTAAACACCCATATCATTTTTGAGTAGAAGAATACTCTGAGAGGACTCCCCAAATAGCCATGGGGTCCAATTTAGACTTGTTGGGACCCAAGATATGGATATAACATCTTCAACTTATGAAGGGATTGTAAAGAGAGTTTAATCACTGATAAAAAAAAGGTAAAGAGAGGCTAATCTAGGTTATGCATTGACTTAAGCATTATAGGTGGTAGTCAACTTATCAAGTAGATCACTATTTGCACATCTCCCTAGAAATAAATAAGAAGATTGATATTAAGGCTTAGTTTGTTTGTAGTGCAAATGAAAATGCATAGGAGTGCCAATAACCTGAGTTGTAAATTCTGGTTTACTTTTGCTTCATATTTGACTTTGTCTGATTTGTTTGTAAGAAGTGAATTTATCTGTGTCCATACCTTATATGAAGAGAATGGATGTTGGTTGTGGTGTAACTTGGCCCACACCCTGGGTCCGATTGAGCGCTGAACTGAACCGCCTCAACAAATTACTTAACCTGTGCCTTTTTGAAATTCCACTTCAAAGTTGTTGGAGCACCTTTCTTTTTCATTTACCCTGTCTTCTTGGTCAACAGAAGAGGGCTTTTCTTTTTCCCATTCTATTTTTTCTTTCATCCGTTCCTTTTCCCCCTCTCTCTTGTTGCCATGTTGGAACCAATAGGCCAGCTCATCATTATCTTCAAGCTTTCTACAGCCCTGCCAAAGCAACAATTCAATTCCTATCGCAAGCCACAACTTCCTCCCCTTCCTTCTACCAGAAGATTGCAAGCACACGGAATCAAATCTGTTTTCACCCCAAGCATCTTGATTTTCACAGAGAACAAGTCTTCGAAGCTATAATCTTCCAAGGTTCTGCCCAACACTGCTACAATTCTTTCCAAGACATCTTCCTTCCACAGGTTGAATGGCAAGCCCATTACCTTCACCACTATTCTCAATTTATCTATCTCTATTTCATTGCAAGACATGTTCTATGATTCCATCTCCCAAATAGAAATTGGCCTTCCCCTGTCTTCACAGTTGAGACTTCTATCTTCTCATTGACAACATCTACTACTGCTCTGTTCTCACAAAAAGGGAGTATTTCCGCTGTGTTTTTGAGCTGAAGCTCTTTCGCCACTGAGTCTAACATTGCCCTCCAGTCAATCATCCTTTTGCTGTTATTACATACCATTTTTTCCCAATTTCTTTTCTCAACCTCCATCGAGATTTTGACTGTCTTCTGAGAATTAGTGACTAGTTCTTTTCTTTTTCATCTCCATTGATAGAGCCAGGCTCACCTGTACTGGGAGCTTGGATCTCGTTTCTGCCCTGAGAACCCTCTCCTTCTATTGGGACTTCCTTTTGTATCTCCCCCACATCGCCCTCTTCAATATGATTCAGGTAAGTTTGCAAAGTCTGTGTGACCGTCTTCCATCCACAACACTCCTTTCGTACCAGCAAACACAACATCTGTTTTTTGCCTTCCTTGAACTCTACGGTGACTGTAACAAACCACCCTTTCTTATTCCATCATAATATCGCTTCATACCTTTGATCTGATCTAGACATCGAACTCTTCCACTCTTGCTTCCTCACAGAGAAAGTAGCTCCATCCAAAAATCCTTGCCGCCATTGTATAGCTTCTCCGACCAAGAAAATCGTAGCCTTCCTTTCCTCTCTGACCTTCAACGACCACTTACTCTGGAGTCTATGTTCTTCCACGATAACTTTTTGGATTCAACCGGTAATTCTCTCCTCCACTTAGACGCGTTCACAAAACCCTTTCTTATTCCATCATAGTATCACTTCATACCTTCGATCTGATCTAGGCATCGAACTCTTCCACTCTTGCTTCCTCATAGAGAAAGTAGCTCTTTCCAAAAAGCCTTGCAGCCATTGTATAGCTTCTCTGACCAAGAAAATCGTAGCTTTCCTTTCCTCTCCGACCTTCAACTGTTCAACAATCACTTACCCTGGAGTCTATGTTCTTCCAAGATAATTTTTTTTGACTTCAACCCGCAATTCTCTCCTCCACTTTAGACGCATTCACAAAACCCTCTCTCTTCTCTATCGCTTTCCTTCCTTTGGTTCTCAATGGTAGTCTCCTAAACTGCTCAAGTGTTTAAGGCTCTTGTTTCTCCTTCAAAAAACTATAGTACTCTCTATTCTCTATCTCTTTAATCATATTTTGTTTTTATTTATTACCAAAAAAAGGAGGAAGAAGAAGAAGGAGGAGGAGGAGGATCTGATCCTGTTTTTCTTGTTTTGTTTTTTTGATATCTTGTATTACGAAGAATGAAGATGCACAACATTAGCTGAAGGGGGGGCTTGTTGAAGTGAAGATGAGTGAGTCAGAGTGGAGTGGGCTTCCCAGCACAAAAAAATCCAAATTAGACTGCATTATAAAGTTGTAGGGGGGGTGTCTAGGGTCTAAGGCCTTGGCCTAAACTTTCTTTCCCTTCTCTGTCCTTTCCTTTCCTTTTTTTCTTTTTGTATGAGGTATGCATGAGACACATGAAACGTGCCTCTAGCACACCTCATGCAAAAGGTGTTTGAGGTGAACAAAGTGGAAACATGATGGAAATGTTGGTCATCCAAATATAGGAAACATGATGGAAACGTTGGAAATATCAATGTACATATTTGTGAAAATTATAGACATGGTGAAAGCTTTGTAAACTATGCACACCTTTTTAAATTATTATCTTGTTCCAAATCATTAAACAAATCTAAGAAACTAAGGTTATGGGCAAAATAATACATTGTAAAGTTGTCCTGTAAACCTTTAGGTCAAAACTACACATGATAGAATGAGTTCAAACAAAATTTAATCTCATAGAGAATGCAAATAATTCTAATAGATCTCTTGAGGATTTACTATTATTTGTTTGTTGTTATTTAGTTAGTGTTATTGGGCCCAAGGTCCATTAATTTAGTGTTTCTTTAAGTTATGTTTGAGTGTGTGGATAGTAGCTGCCTTATTGATGGTCTATTTGACATGTATGCTTTTTATTCTTTAAGTATAAAAGTTAATGAGAGAGGCGGTCAGATCGTTATTGGCCTTCGGCCTTCTCTTTCCTCTTCTCCCAACTTCTTCTCTCCTCTCAAGAAACTCTCTTTCTTTTCTCTCCTCCATGATTGCATGGAGGAATAGAGAGCTGATTGATGGTTCAAGAAAGTCCAATTTCTTGGGTTTTTTTGGTGGATTTTAGACACTAGGTGAGTGATCTTGGTTTGATCATCAAAATGAAGAACTAGAGAGAGAATAACAGTCCTAGTTGCAGTAGGATTCTTTGTTTTTGACTTGGATGGAGGCACTTAGGATTTTTTGAATTTATAGGAGAATTTTGTAAGAGGCGAATCAATTTTTGGCTATTTTTGGGGCTCCTAGTGAGATTGATAGTCATTTCTCTTGCTTCGATAAGTTCCTAGGAAAGGAGAAATATCTTTGTGCAAGTATTTTGTGTTTTGAATGGAGTTTTTGGGTTGCCTAGAAGGGATCAATCTGATTCTAGAGGTTATTCTCTATTTTTTATTATGATCCAAGCAATTTAAGAATCTATGGAAGGTAATGGAGTAGAACAAAAATTGACTAGTGACCTTGGATTGGGTATGGGAAGTGCTAGTGATCGTTTGGGATTAGGTACCATAACTACTGTTAAATTGGATGGTACAAACTATTTGGAATGGTCACAATTAACCAAGATGGCAATTGATGTACATGGAAAACTGGAATATATTATTGGTGATGAGAAAAATGAAGTGGTAGAAGGTTTGGAAGAGCTAATTGGAAGTTTCTCAGTTTCTTTAAAATTCAAGCAAGTGGAGGATGGTTTTGAGTGGGTTTTGACAAATGTGTATGGTCTTAATGATTATCGAGAAAGGAGGAAATTGTGGGAAGAGCTAGAGGATATTAGGGGATTGTGGGAAGGTCTTTGGCGTATAGGTGGAGATCTTAATGTGGTTAGGTTCACGGATGAGACCAATAACCCTATTCAGGGAGTGACAACTAGCATGAGGAGTTTTAACAATTTTGTGGACACTTTTGAGCTTAAAGAAATCCCTCTCTCTTCTGATCTTTTCACTTGGTCCAACCTCCAAACCAACTAAGTTAGATAGGTTGCTTTTTTCACTAGATTGGGAGGAGCATTGGGGAGAATTTGACTTCAAGAACACTTCCAAGGGTAACCTTTGACCATTGGCCAATAGTGATCTCTAAGGATGAGTTGAGGAATGTTGGTCCATCTCCCTTTAGATTTGAAAATATGTGGTTATGTCACCCCAGTTTTTTAAAGAAAGTTGAGGATTGGTGGATGGAGTTGTAACCCTTGAGTGAATTGGGGAGGGATGAGATTTCATAAGAAACTTCGGTATTTGGAAAATAAAATAAAGGAGTGGAATCTAGTGGAATTTGGTAGAACTGAGGCTAGGAAGCTATCTTTAATTGATAGAATTGAGGAGATTGATTTGAAAGAGGGTACAGGGGCCTTGGAGGAAGGAGATAAAGGGCTTAGGTGTACCCTGAGGAAGCAATTGGAGGACATTTGTATAAAGAGGAGGCAGGATGGAGGCAAAAATAAGGTGTAGGTGGCTAAAGGAAGGAGATAGGAATACTAAATTTTCTCATGCGGTGGCAAATGGAAGGAGAAGGAAGAACTTTATCTCTAAGTTGGAAGTGGAGGGCTCTTCTATTACCCAACAAAGTGAGATTGCGGGGGCCTTTGCGAGTCATTTCAGGTCCATCTATAGAAGGCCCCTAAATGATAGATTGCGGATTGAGGGTTTGGAGTGGTTAAGGTTAGATTTCAAGGATAAGGACTGGCTAAAAAGAAAGTTTGATTTAGAAGAGGTAGTCGTTTCTATGGATAGATCAAAAGCTTTGGGACCGGATGGATTTACGATGACCTTTTATTAAGATTGTTGGGATGTTTTGGCAGAGGATTTGATGCTAGTTTTTGAGGAATTTTATTTGAGGGGGTAATTAATCCAGATTTGAACTCCACTTTTATTGCTTTGTCCCCTAAAAAGAGAGATGTTGTTCACCCTAAGACTTCATACTATAAGTCTGGTGAATAGCTTGTACAAGATTATTGCTGAAGTGTTGTCTATTAGTATTAAGAAAGTCCTCCCTACTATTATTGCACCAAATCAAGGAGCTTTTGTGACAGGAAGACAGATTGCTGATCCAATTTTTAATAGCCAATGAAAGTATAGAAGATTTTAAGAAGTCAGGGAAAAAAGGAGTGGTTTGTAAACTTGATATAAAGAAAGCCTATGACTTAGCGGATTGGTTTTTTTTGGTTGAGGTGTTGTTGAGCTTCGGGTTTGGGGATAGGTGGTGCAAGTGGGTCGTAGGGTGTGTTAGAAATTGTCATTATTCTGTGTTGGTTAATGGGACAGTGGTGGATTTCTTTCCAACTTTGAGGGGCATCAGTCAGGAAGACTTCTTCTCCTTTCTTGTTTACCCTGGTAGCCGGTGTTTTAGGTAGATTGATTTCAAGAGCAGATTCCGATAATTTAGTAAGAGGTTGGAGAGTTGGTAGGGAAGGGGTTCTGGTTACTCACTTGCAATTTGCATATGACATGGTACTCTTCTGTGAAGGAGGAATACTAGTTGGGTTAGGAACTTGAAGCTTACTATACAACTTTTTGAACGGTTGTCTAACTTGAAGGTGAATTTTGAGAAAAGTTGTATAGTTGGAATCATTATGGAGAAGAGGGAGGTAGTTGAGTGTGTAGGTATTTTGGGTTGCACAGTGTTCAATTGGCCTTTGAATTACTTAGGATTGCCCCAAGGAGATAACCCAAGGAAAGGAAATTTTTGGAATCCGGTTGTGGAAAGATTTGAAAGGAGACTTGCTTCTTGGAAGAGGAACTATTTATCTTTTGGAGGAAGAGTTACTTTGATCAATCAACTTTAGCTAACCTGCCTATCTATTTTCTGTCAGTTTTTAAGATTCCAAAAAGGGTAGGAAGAAGATAGGAGAAGTTAATGAGGTATTTTCTTTGGGAGCCAGGGGAGGAGAAAAAAGACCATAGGGTGAATGGGAGTTGGTTTGTAGAAATAAGAAGTTTGGAGGTCTTGGACTGGGAAATATTCAGAAGAGGAACTTGGCTCTATTGGGAAAGTGGTTATGGAGATTTCCTTTTGAAAAGGAAAAGTGGACTAAGATAAGAGTAAGAAGTATTAATGGGCTTGCGGTTAATGGATGGGATGCTGGAATTCGGGCTAGGACTGCGAGAGCTTCACCATGGAGAACCATTGAAGCTATTTTGCCTCTTTTCTTGCCTTGGATCAGGTATGAATTGTACTCCGGTAACCTTATTAAATTCTAGGAACAAGTATGGGTTGGGGACTCCCCTTTGAAGGACCAATTTCCTACTTTGTTTGCCTTGTCTAATTTGAAGGATGAGCCTATTGGTACTTTTTTAGTCCCATCAAACTCAGCCTTTGGGTCTGATTGGAACTTGGGTTTAAAAAGGGCTTTAAGGGATTCAGAGTTAAATAGCACTTTGTCACTTTTGAGTATCCTTGAAGGGGTTTACTTGGGTGCCGCAAATCCTGATTGTAGGATTTGGTCTCTTTCGGCCTTTGGGCAGTTTACTTGTGCTTCCTTTTTTAAAGCCTCGACTCAACATAACTCTCCTCTTGGGCTGTCTTTCCCTGTTAAGGAAGTATGGTGTAATCCTATTCCTCCTAGGGTTGGGGGTTTTTGTTGGGAAGCTTTTCTAGAACAAATAAACACTTGTGACTTGCTTCAGAAAAAAAAGACCTAAAAGTTGCTTGTCTCCTCATTGGTGTGTACTGTGCAAAGATAATGGTGAGAATAGCTATCACTTATTAATTTCCTGCCATTTTTCTGATTGTATTTGGGGTTGGATCTTTTCCTTATTTGGTTGTAGCTGGACTCCCCTGCCGAATGTGCAAAGTCTTTTTGCTTATTTTTTCAAGTGGCCAGTGAAAAGGGGAGCATTATGTGAAGTATAAGGTCTGCAGCGTGCTGGACAATCTGGGAAGAACGGAACTTGAGAATTTTTGCTGGTAAGGAAGTACAGTCCATCTTGGAGGCGATTCACATCAGAGTGGTGCATTGGGTTAAGTCTTTGGAGTTGTTTAATGACTTCTCAACTGATGATTTGTTAAGGAAGTGGAAGGAAGTTGCTAAGTCTGCTCCACCTACTGTTTCTTCTGTACATGTTTGGGTCCCTCCTCTTAGTGGTTTTATTAAATTGAACTTTGACGGGAGTAGTATGGGGAACCCAGGATCCTCGGGTATTGGGGGAGTCTTAAGGTATGAGGTGCTCTTTTCTCTAGTCCAATAGGTGTGGGTGACTCTATTCAGGCTGAGATTTTGTCAGCTGTGGAAGGTGTACAATGGGCCAAGGATTTGAACCATACTTTTCAAGGCACCTAGGCGACCACAGGGCACCCAAAAATTATATTTAAACAACATATGTTGGTTTTTCCACTAAGAAGTGAGACGAAACAAAAGGAAGTCAAGTGCTACTAATATCAAATGTCTGGGTAGGTAAAACTATAGTGAGGCTATCAAGGTTTTGAAAAACTTTTTGCATGAAATTTCTTCTACATTAATCATCTTTTTAATAAAAATCATAAAATGAGCTAAATTTTATAATTATTGATTGAAGCATTTGCATCCAAAGGATCTATAACTTATAGATGCAAGGTTATAATACTGTCTTAATTTAAAATATATGTCTCAGTGTTTAATATAACAAAGCAACTTAACATGTAAGCCTTTCAGTATGCATTCCAAAACCTTGTTAAGATCTCTAAGCATCTTTGGAACATGGTATAGGATGGAATACAAGAAACTTTGGAACTATCTACCCTACTAGTGAATGAATGTAGGCTATGTGGGTCTGTGTAACATTCTGCTTTTATCCTATATGAAATATAACTTAGATTGTATTGCATTTTTCAATGTCTTATTATATTACTCGTTCCCAAAGTGTAGGTTGTGCCTTAACTTAAGATTTCATTGTTTACTTTTGTAGAGCTTGATCGGCTATTAGAAGATGCACCTTTGCCATTCATCATGAAGCATGCATCCAAAATTGTTGGCGTTCGTAAGAGAGTTTCCTCATTGAATTCACTTTTAAAATCGATACAACGGCGTATAGACAATATAGATCGGATGCTATCTGCTGGTGTTTCACATGGTATTCTATCATTTATAAATTTTGTTCTATTCTTCTGATATGTTGGATGGCTGCAACTTGGGTGGGCTTAAGTTGAGCATTTTCTAAAATTTGAATTGGTCTATGCCCAATGCTGTGTAAATTCTTAAAGTTGGGTACCTGACTTGCACTCCTAATATTGTGGTTGGACATAAAATACTGTGATAATCAGTTATTTTGGAGAAAATTAATTTGTTGGTATTTGGTTGTTAAAAACATTAGAGGAAGTAAATTCTTATTCAAATCTAGAGTGAATGCTGCCAGACTTGCACCCTTTTAGGAAGTAGGTTATTTTACTTGAGTCTCCAATGAGATTGTAGGTTTTACTTTTAAAGTCCTAGTGGATAACCAACCTGAAAGCAGTTACACATGAGAAAAGTTTGATTTCAAAGAACTGTAATGCTTATCCTAATGCAGCCATTGTGATTGGGTAATTATGTAGAAGTTGTCTTTGCTTAGAATGTGTGAAATCATAGTTGTTACTAAAGAATATAGTTTGATTCCAATTATCTTCAAGTTCCTCAAACCTTATGTTTTATACATATTGTCATGCACATGCATACATGAACAAACATTTATTTTTTCTTTTTTTGGAGGTGAATAGAATATGGTTGCATTATCACTTTGCAATTGCAGATAAGGTGGTAATGTAAAGGGATTCACTTGGTCTGCCACATCACTCTCTATGGAAGTTTCGTTCCAACAATCCTGTATATATATATATATACAGGATGGTTTAATCATGTGCATGAACAAAGACTGCATTAGTGATGAGTGAATTGGTGCAAGTAGAAAGCTGTGAAATGGTAAGAGGACGAGCAGAGAATTGGGTGTAGTGGGTTGATATATTGTACTTTTGATGCTTTTGTTTGGTACTCTTTGTTTGTATGACTGCTGATTCCTTATCACTCCCTATGATGTACTTCTTTTTCTCTTTTTATAAATTTTATTTTCTATTTATTATCACAAAAAAGAGAGGAAGAGCAAAGAATACATGATCTGAAGTGGTAAAAAAATGATTTAAAGACATGAATTGATAGAAACATGGCTCTTGATAGAGCACAGTTGTGGGACAAGATTTGTGTATCCAATCCCAAATGGTTGGGTTTAAGGTTGGGTTGAGTATTTTGAGGCATCAAGGGCATTTTGTATTTTTACTTCTGTTGAGGTCCATCCATGGTAGTGACCTTTAGGTTTTATTTACTATTAGTTATGAGTGTCATAAAAGAGGGGGAAAGGCACAAAACCAGGGGTGGGTCACATGGTCGAACCAACTTTAATCCCACCTCATACGATCACTTTAACATTACATGTGGTGTTGGGGTGGGGGGTCAATGGGGGACATTAAGAACGGTCCATCATCGTCCCCCTTGATTTCGAATAGATTGCAGGGGGTGGCTTCAAGGTAGCTGCAACGGGTTAAGCATCACTCTTCTCACCAAGACAAACCCAGCCCTCGCTATTCAAGAAATAAAGAAATCTGAGGAATGATGAAGAGGATGGAACATCGATTAACTACGGTGATTCTGAAGAAGAAAGCATTTCTAAGGACAAGTCTAGCATCGACAGTGTTGAGGTACACATACAACCCAAGTCTTCTTCGACCAAGATGATGACTTTCAACTAGGCTCTCTCTTCTCCTTGGACAGAGTTGTACCCAATTCGGAACTAGTTCTGGTGGTGAAGGTGACAAGCAAAATTTGAAGGGGTGAGAGTAACGCAGGAGCTTCCTTTCAAAAAAGTAGAAGGGGAAGTGGGAGAGCGGCTTCAAACAAGGATTGGTATGAACAATCCAATCCAATCATAGCAGTGAACTACTTGGAATCAAGAAGAAAAGGAAATATATTTCATTGGAATCAAGAGTAGGGTGTCTAGATGAAGGAAACACAGGGGAATCAATATACTTCATCGGAAAATCTGGTTGGGGAAACAAGTCCAAAATCGGTATGGTCTAGTGCAAGTGTGGATCCTTCCCAAAATGTCCAGATCAACTCTACAAGAATGGTGAATATTGAAATGGAATGGGGAAACAAAATTTGCAGAAACTAGGGTTTCAAGAGAGAGGAAGAAGAAAAGAGGAGAAGAGAAGAAGAGGAAGAAGAGAGCAAGTGTTGAGAGGTGTGTGTTATTCACTATTCACACCCTCAAAAGATTACTTTATAATTTGAGAAATAATAATTACAAGAAGGCCCCTATATGGGTGCCCAAATACTGAGAGAGTATAAGAAAGGAGAAAAAAAACCAAAAACATCCCTATCTAACCATTCTCAACACTCCCCCTCAAGTTGAGCTTATGCCAATCATGCCCAGTTTGGCAAGGTTCTTAGCAAACTTTGGATGGTGAACAACTTTAGTGAGGCAATCAGCTAGTTGGTCTTCTGACCTTACAAAAGGAAGGCAAATCTCTTCGACAGCAATTCTTTCTCTAATAAAGTGTCTATCCACCTCAATATGTACGATCATGTTGGACAGGATTGTGAGCAATATTTATGGCTGCTTGATTGTCACAATAGTCTCATTGGAACATTTGCTTGGTTGCCCATCTTAGTCAATAAGGTCTTCAACCAGAGTAGTTTAGACACTCCATGAGCCATTGCTTTGTACTTTGCCTCAACACTAGAACGAGCAATCACAGATTGTTTCTTACTTCTCTAGGAAACCACATTGCCTCCAACTGAGGCACAATAACCGGATGTAGATCTTCTATCATTGATGGACCCTGCCCAATCAGCATCTGTGTAAGCCTTAATCTTTAAATGGCTGTGGTTGGAATACAACATCTCTTTTCCAGGGCATCCTTTCAGGTAGGCTAAAATTCTATTAACTGCCTGCATATGAGATGTCCTGGGTTCATGCATATATTGGCTAACCACTCCAACAACATAGGAAATGTCAGGTCTAGTCAAACAAAGATACAGAAAGCGTCTCGCCAATCTCTGATATACCCCCCTATCTGGAAGAACTTCTCCTTCGGTAGAGTTCAACTTGTGGTTGGGATCAATTGGAGTTTCTACAGGCTTACACCCTAATTTTCCAACCTCATGAAGCAAATCAAATACATATTTCCTTTGTGACAGAAAAATCCCCTTCTTGGATCTTGCAACTTCAATGCCAAGAAAGTATCGGAGATCACCAAGGTCCTTAATTTCAAATTCAGAAGCAAGGAATGACTTTAACTGAGAGATACCTATGATATCAGCACATGAAGTCATAGAAGGGATCACCATCAAGATTGTACATTGGTCGAAATCGCTGGATCTGTTCAAGAACTTCTCCATGGATGACTTAATTAGAGGGTGGAGTGCGGTAGCAGCTTCTTCCTACCCCTCTTTAGCTATTCAAGAGGACTGGTCGCTCTGTTATCTTTGGATGTTAAGTTAAACTTTGATGGCAGTTCTATAGGTAATCCCGACCCCTTTGGAATTGGGGGTGTCTTTAGAGATGGGGGAGGAAATGTCCTGGCCCTTTATTTTGGCCCGATAGGATTGGGGACTCTCTTAGAGAAGAAGTTTTGGCACTCCTACAAGGGCTCAAGCTGGCTAAACAGTTGGGTTTCCAGCAGTTGGAAGTGGAGGGAGACTCGAAATTGGTAATAGGTTGGATGCAAACAAACAACTGCGGTCCCTTAAATGACCTGTAAGGGAGATCATGCAACTAACAAGGGAGCTTGAAGTCAGGTTTAAATGGAGTAGGAGATCAGCCAATGCAATGGCTGATACTTTAGCAAAGCAAGGAGTTAGTAGGAAAAACCTTTTTTGGGCCTGTTTGTAATCTGTGGAGGGGTCACCTTGCTTTTTGAAGGTGACAGTTGTACTAAGTTTCTTAAAGAATTAATGAAAGTTACTGTTTCCAATAAAAAAAAACCTATGATATCATCATTTGTCACAACAATGTCATCAACATATACTATCAACATTGTTACTCTACCATCAACTCTTCTAATAAATAAGGTGTGGTCAGCTTGAGATTGAGAAAAACCAATCTTTAAGTTGGCATTCCTGAACCTGTCAAACCATGCTCATGGAGATTGTTTAGCCCATACAATGATTTCTTCAAGCGGCACACTTTTCCATCACTGTTAGGAAAACTTACCCTAGGTGGTAAGTCCATGTACACTTCCTCTTGTAAGTCCCCATTAAGGAAGGCGTTCTTTACATCCATTTGATATAAAGGCCATGAGTAATGAGCGGCAAGGGACATGATCACACGAATAGAGTTCATTTTCTTAACTGGAGCAAAGGCTTTCAAATAATCAATGCCATAAGTCTGAGTGTATCCTTTGGCTACAAGCTGAGCTTTGTATCTTTCAATTGAGCCATCTGCCTTGTACTTAACAGTATAAACCCACTTATACCCAACAGGAATCTTATCTTTGGGGCAAGGAACAACCTCTCCCAAGTCTGATTCTTTATTAGGGCCTCAATTTCTTGGTTCATAGCTTCCTTCCAGTGGGACATTGCATTGCGTTTGCAACACTACGAGGGATGGAAACCGAAGAGATAGCAGAAATATAGGCACAATAGGAAGGTGAAAGAGCATCATAAGACACATAGTTAGTGATAGGATACTTGCTACATGTCTTGTTCCCTTTTCGAATGGCAATAGGAAGATTAAGGTCATAATCAATAATAAGATTGTCAAGAGGTTCAAAATTACTTGAGTTTGGGGAATTAGATTGTGATGGGCATTCAGCTTCAGGAGCCACCCTCTTATTGCGCCTAATGAAAAACTGCTGCCAGGACCGAGGTCGATACCCAGGAGGAGGAGGAGGAGGAGAAGGAATAGAGGTAGGAAGAGAGGGAGGAATAGAGGTAGGAACAGGAAGGCAGAAGGGAGTCTGATCTTCACTTGCATTCTCCCCTTGAAGAGAAGGATGGGGTGATTGGAAAAAGGAAGATGATTCCAAAAAGGTAACATCCTTAGAGACATATCTCTTGCCAGAGAGAGCATCGAAGCATCTATAACCTTTCTGAACTGGAGAG